TTTTCCTTACTATTATCTGAATCCCCCTTCGGCTTCTGCCAATTCCGTCTCGATTTCATTGAAGATTCTGCGTTTGGGTTTATTAATCATTCTCTGCCTCTATTAATCCATTGGTAACAGACAAATTGGTGCTGTTTCTTTCTTTTTTTGCTCTGTAATTTCTCTGCCATTGAAGAACCTCGGAGATTAGGATCGAAACAGAGCGAGGAGAAGACTACGTGTTAGATTAATCATTATTCTTTTGTTTGAATTTTCTCTTGGGGGTTACATATTTTGTGGGTTGACAATTGAAATGGCAATGAACTCGAAGAGGGGAAAGTCTTAAAGGATAATGTAACTATATAACCGTTTTATTTTATGCGACTGAATACTGAAACGTTGGTCAATTTAAATCTTCAGATTTAGTTACGTAATTTTATTTTTTAAAAAATATTATTTTAGTTGGAGGCCGATCCTATTACATTTTCTTAGGAGCTAAATTTAAAATTTATCGAAATTACATAAACTAAATTTGTACATTTGATTTTGAAAGTATATAATTTGAAATACTACGTGGACCAAAAATATAATGATATTTCAATAAAAACTCTATTTAACAACAATTTAGTGTATGTCTTTTGTTCATTTTAACGTCTACAGAAACAAATAGACAAAGTTATAAATGGTAGGTTAGGTGTTTATTTTAATGTCTACACAAACAAATAGGCAAAGCTATAAATGGAAGGTTAGGTGTTTGATTTTACGACAGATTTGAGCTTTTTATTAAGTAATTTTTTATGCAGAATTTTATAAGTTATTTGGAAAGTTAGGCATTGGCATTGCACCCAGAGTTGCATGTGTGTTATACCCACAATTTTCACCAAGAACATATTATTTATCGAGATGGATTTGGAACTAATAAATATTCCTTTTGGATATATAGTGATATTTGATCCATTCGACTTCTTTTAAAGGGTATTTTTTCAAACTAAGTTACCAACTGTTAAGGATCCACATTGTGAAGAAAATAGACCTTACAATATTTTATAATAGACATGAGCTACTACTCTCATGATCAATTGGTTTTGAGATGAAATCCCATAAATATTAATATGGTATCAGACCCAACAAACTCACAATAGAACTTTGACTCTCTAAGTATATTTTGATTGTATGGGGAAAGGGAATGGGGATTGGATTACTTTGAGTAGAAGGGAAGTGTTTGTTAGAAGTAGGGATAGGGAGAAAGAAAGGAAGCTGGGGAGGGGTGGAAATAGAGAATATAAGCAATTAATGCCTCTACTTTGGCACCAAAAATTCAGCATTTTAGATCATTATGTCCCATGTGCCTTTAGTGGTTGGTTGCTTTCTTATGGAATAAGAGTTCTCCAAAATTTCAAAGGCCAATAGGATTGGAATTTTGGGTCTTTTTAACTATTTGGGTTTTCACATCCCATTTTGGTCCATTTCTTAGCTATGCATTACTTTTTGAATAATTGGATTCTCCCCTCTCACTCCACAACTCAACAAAAAGAAATAATATTGATCAATTATTTGTTTCATGTTGAAACATTGCCTTCCCTTCACTTTGCTTTAATTTTGGATTCTTATACACATTAAGTTGTCATTTTCTAACCAGAGCTTTTTTTCCTCCATAATTGAAGTACAAAAGTGATCTATAAAATGACCAAATAAAAAGATTTATTTTCGTTGAAGTTAGAGGGTATATTTTTTTAGGAAATGAAAGTTCAATTGGTCAAAGCATTACTTAGCTCCTTGAAGATTAAAGATTCTAACTTAAGGGTGAAAATTGGGTCAAGATTTTTCGCATGCCATTGGTCCTTNAATATCTTTTAAAAAAAAAAGGAAAAAAAAATTGGAGCGTTCCCACAATTGTATAGAAAATTTGAAAATAATCAAAACAAGTTTCTCAATTCTTGTTCTCATTTCCAATTTGTTCCAAAACATAAATGAAAAGATTGTTCGATCGTATTTGAATTCTTGGAAGTTGGAACCATGCGTTACATTTTTCTTCATTAAAAATAAAGAAAATGGAACATTATCAAACGGGGGATTTAACTTTTAGATTCCTGTCACTTTTTGAGAATTGAGAGTATTCTTTTTTCCAATAATGGAATAACCAAAACGATAAAATAAAATAAACCAATAAGATAGTTTCTTCTCTTTCAAGTCAAGAGATATACCTTTTTATGAAATTAAATCCTAACATACAATACAATCTATACTTGGTTTTGTTTTCATTTACCAAATATTGAAGCAGAGATATTTGAACTAGGACCATTGAAACAAAACCGAATTAAGAATTAAGAATAAGAATTACTAGAATAATTATTAAGAATGAGATATCACAATTTGATAGCATGCATATACAGTAACAATATGAGATCAAAAGGGAATTTGGGCTACGAATATTCTTCCAATTTCTGAGTTCAGTCACATAAAATAGAAAGAAGAAGAAACAAAGTTGCTCATGCACTCGCTACAAATGCGTGTAATTTGCAGAGGCTATGGATGATTTCCCTGACTGGCTTACTTTATTAAATTATGATGATGTTTTTTAATTTTGGTTTTGTTAACTTACAAAATGAATTCGAATTTTCATCTCAAACATTGTACTAGTCGGAGAAGGACAATTACTCATTCTTTTAAACCAGCATTCTTTGATACAAACCACGAGGGATGAAAAGGAATTTGGGTTGAAGATCCTCTGAGATGAGATAAGAGATGGAGATGATTTGGAAATGGTCCATAGAAATACAATTTAGTGAAATCTAAAATGAAACTATATATACTAGGAAATGTTCTTCATTAAAAATGCTAGATAGAAATTGGCTAAACATGTGTCTTTTAGCTCCAAATTTTTTGGTTAATTTTTTTAACTTTGTGCCTTTTTAGTTTTTGAATTCAGCTCTTTATATATATTTTAATAGGTTTTCATTTAATGATCTCTTATTATTAGAGAATGTTATAATTGATAGAGGATAAATTTACCTGACATAATAGTCAGTGAACTGACGAAAATGTAGAGCAGGAAAAATGTCATTTAATTAAGAGAGAAAATTTTCTAATTTATCTTCCAAATTTAAGTGTTTTTCCATTGATGATCTTTT